GTCCAGGGAAAGGACCATGTTTCCTGCACAGCGCAGGCCCGGAAGCTGTTGATCCTGCAGCTCCCTCTTGGGGTAGGGCAGGGCAGTGGGCACTTTGTGGATATGGGGTGGCTTCTGGGAGTACTGTGGCTATTCCAGCAAGGAGTGGGTTTGAATCAGCCTTCCTGAAAGGCAGGAATGATCTCCTTTGCAGTGAGTGAGCCCAGCCGGCTGCCTCGTGTCACACGGCGATGGTTTCTTTCCTTGGCTTGAGTGTAGAGCAGGCAACACAGAGCCTTGTCCAGGCCTGCGCCAAGTTCTGAGAGTGTCCCTGGGCCAAGTGACCTCTGTAACATTTCCTGAAGATTCTAAAACTGAGACCTGGTTCCCACAACCTCAGAGGGGACCAACTAAGGGTGGGACTCCTGTTCTCAGCTCCCCCAAAGCCTCACAGAACCACACTCTACATGTTCCCACAAGTCTAGAGGTTTGTAAAAATGGCTTCTTCACTTGACAAATTTCTTATTGAAGACAATCTTTCAAAAATAGCTGCTCCTCCAGGATGCTCCACATCCAGGAGACTGTGACCTATCACCCAGGCCCCAAGGGCAGCTCCTGGTTCCAGCAAGCCCAGTCCTGAGTCTGTTCTCCTGATTTATCAGCATGTGTAAGTATAAAGAATGAAACTAAAATTAACCATGTAAACATGCCTTGAACATGCTTTTTCTAAGACTAGAATAGCATCCCAGGCTGTAAAGCCCCTCTCCCATTACCATGCAAATGAGGAAGAGAACAAGGATGTGAAGTAACTCACATGGGGCCACCTGAACACCACTCCCAGCTCTGCAATTATTGATTCAGGTGCGGTCACAAACAAGTGGAGGAAGGATCAGGCCATCACTGACTGCCATTTTCTTTAGACCTAGAATCTCAAAGTAAAGGGATTCTATACTATACTATAAGAGGGACATTACAGTCCTTTTTTTTAAAGATTTATTTACTTTTATACAAGAACTGGGGTACAGGCCAGATGTGCGGGAGGGTGAGAGGATTCACTGGAGACAGAGCAGGGAGTAGAACAGGCAGACTGATGGAAATACACTGCTGAGGGGAGCAGCGGGTGCCACAGGAAAGGTCTGCTTTGCCATGAGGGATTCTCGCCAGCCGGCCAGCATCAAACCCGTGCTTCAGAGGCTGCGGACAGCCGCACAGTGCAGCACTCAACCACCTGCACCACCAGGGAGGCCTGGGACATGACAGTCTTCCAAGTAAAAATAATCCACTACATAAATTGATGATGAACACCTTGGTCTTAGGTGATTCCTACTCTCTCCATTCAAGAGAAATTAGAATCATCGAGCAGCTATCCAGGTGTTGCCAGCACCAGTAAAACATGCTCCCAAGTAACTCATTCCCACCTTATAGCCATTTGGGGGTGAAGAGGAGACTCACAGACCTGCAGAGAGGGTGGTCAGGCTTCTGGGAGGGGTGACAGTCCTGGGGCTGGCCTCTCCTGTCACCCTCTTCATCCTGTCTGAGGTGACTTGTCCAACTGGCCCCATCTCAGGCTGCAGGTACCAACCATGAGCCTGGGAAAGGTGGTGGCAGCGCCCTGACAGGCTGCCCTGACCAAGATCTGGCTTTATGCTGTGAGTCTCATTGCATTTGTGAAGGTCAACGGTGCTCTAAAAACCTTCATCCAAATTTTGCCTTTAGGAAGGACTGGAAGCCAGTCGAGAGGAAATAGGCTGAGATTTTCATTCAGTTGGTCCTGTGTAGCGCAGTGGGCAATGGATCTATGAGCTCAGTTTCTAATGGTGGGGACCCTCATCTTGTTAGATAGAAGACACACTTCAGAGGAAAAAGAACAGGGAACAGAGGTGTTCATGCTCCTTCTGACCTGTCTGTGTTCAGGACACCAGGTTGGTGTGCTTACCTGTAATAAGGACACATAACTGTCACCTGACTGGCCTCGCCTGATTTCCCCTCTGTCCTCCTTTATGCAAACACCAGCTTTTCCTCACCCCATCAACAGTCTCAGAAATGATCACCACCGCTGACCAATTCACACTAACTCCACACTGGGAACCACAGGCTCCCTGGGCCTCTGGTCTCCTCTCCTCACACAGCTCTCTCCTGCCAAGTCATGCTTCCTAATGCTCCCTGAACACACCCTTCTTCTTTGAGCTTTCCCCCTCCTTGTCTTTGTTCAGATAAGTTCCCTTACCTAGAATATCACCTGTCCCCCCACAAATCTCTCCCTGCCAAAATGCATCTACAAAACTCACCCAAATGGGACCCAATATATAAAGCTTTCATTTTCCAAATGATGGTAACAGGTGAATGTTGTTGTATGGTATTTATCATCATATACCAGGCACGAAAAAAGAAAAAATAAAACATTGAGATGCAAACAAGTGACCTGACACTGCTGTCCACCTGGTAGACTGTGCCCACATCACCGCTTCTCTAGTGTGTCTTGAGGGACCTAGCACCTTCCTTTGACTCCTGCATCACATAGTGCCTGGTGCATGGAATCTGCTCAGCACATCAGATGCCATTTCAGGAGGACACACAAGTCAGCTGCTCATCGTGTTGTCCTGCAATTGGTCCCTCCCCCAACCTGGCAGTGTGTTTTTTGTTCCATAGTCCAGACCCACAAGGACACCATCCACCCTGCAGGGGACATCATGTTGGTCCCTGAGAAAGGCAAGGGAGCAGGGAGAGTGAGCCCTTCTTCTATGATGAGAAAGGTCTTTATGTGTTCATCTGTGACCCAAGTCAGCCCACAGTGGAGTGGCCCCAGTTCCTTGGGCCTGGACAGCACTGGCTGCCATTCTCAAGGGAAAGACAGGTAGAGAGGGGTTAGGAAAAAATAAATAGAAGATTGGACTTTATAACTCTGGAAATCACAGCATGAATACAAAAGCTTGGCACCATCAGGCAGAATCAGGACACCTGCAGAGGTGAAAGGTCAGTCTTTCTGTGTCCCAGTCCATCATGGAGAGAGGCAGAAACCACAGTTCCCCAAGGTGGAGCTCAGGCCTCCTGTCCTACCCTGCAGTGGAATCAGCATCCTCAGGATCACAAAGACAAGACTCAAACCTGGCATTGCCACGTATAAGCTGGGTGAATCTTCCAGTTCTGAGCCCCAGTTTCCACTCTGTTAACAGATGGTAGCATACCTGCCTTGTGGGGCTGGTGTCGGAGTAGACCAGATGGCGCGTAAACTATGGAACAGGGCATTGGAGAAGGGACAAGATGGAGCCACCGCTCAGTCCCCAAGGGCCCTCAGGAACCCACATGACAATATCTTGCTCTCATAAGTGCCACCTGGGCTCAAACCAGCTGGTCCCCTTAGGCCCAGCATCTTCCCCTGCCACCCAAGGCTTTCCCTCTGTACCAAGAAAAGCCCATGTGGGAGGTGCTGGAAGTGCTTACATTCCCACTGGGCAGGATTTCACATGGCTTTAAGGGGCAGGACTGTGCTCTTCTCTTGATGCCCTATAATCAGAAATGATATATTTTGATAGTTCTTTGATTCGATGTGTCCTTAGTATGCATGAGCTAGAATTTTGGAAACCATGACTATAATTTGGGGCTCTGGTTAAGTATAACTCAGAGGCCGGATGTAACTCACCACCACCCTGTACCCTGGTCTTCCACGTGTCCTCTTTCTCTTTCATGAAGGTTTTCTTAGATTGTTCTATTTCCTTTCCCATCTCTCTACTGAGCATCTGAATTCAGGCTGAGTAATTCCACTTTAAAAACCACTCTGAAGCTCCAGTTTGCTGAGTGTCTTTAGCTCACCTAAAACCAAACTTTCACTCTACAGGTGAGGAAAATGGAGGTCAAAAAGAGATGAGGGAAGATGCCCAGGTGATCTTGGAGGACCGGGGCAGGTCCAAAGCAAGAATCTGCCCAGGTGTCCCCAGAGTCCCATCTGTCCTCACATTGTGTTTCCAGCTAGTCCGCAGCCACATCATCTTGATCTCTCCTAGAGCCATACACCTCCCATTCCAGTATTCATTCAATACTTGTTCTTCAAATGGACTCACATTTTATTTAAATAAATTCATTTTAAAAAGAAATTTTATATCATCATCTAATGAAAAAGCAGTATCACTTGCCATGGATAGAAAGTTAAAACTGAAGAAAATGTGAAACATAATTAGATGGAATCCTATTTAAATGTTGTTGTCCTGGCAAGGAAAACAAATTTTTCTCTTTGATTATAACCAGGAATGGCACGTTCAGAGTGTTAAGGACTTGGTAGACTAAATGAAAACAGATTCTGGACCTGATTCCCGTGCTATCTGCTGCTGTCTTTCTGTCATGGAGAACTTTCCCCCATACATTCACAGGGTATCTTCACACTATGAGTCCTTTGAGTCTACAGCTCCACACCCAGATTTTGTCTCTGTGGGGGTCAGTAGACTCTCCTACTCCCTGAATGGTCAGTACCTTCATGGGGCTTAGACTTTTGTTTGGTCCCTAAATGCCATGTAAATATCCGGCTATCCTTCACTTTCACGGTAAGGTCCATATTGGATTTAAGCATACATTTTGGTAAATTTTCTGAGGGACTATGTTGTTCACCCCAGAAATAATGTCAAGGTAATTAAATTTTAGATTATAATGAATCAGGGAAGTTGATCTCAGCGGTGGAAAAATGCTGTGATTTAAATTGCCAATATACAGATACTTTCAGTTCTTGAAAGCCACTGCCAACTGTGCCTGCCGGAAGTTAAATTCTAAATAGCTTGCTATGATTGATGCAGGCATTAGTCATTAAAAAAAAAAAAAAAAAAAAATCCTGAACTAAATTATTTGCATCTAAAGGATGACATAAGAAACACCATGCCCTGCTCTTTCAGGAAGAGACCACGAGATGGAGCACTTGCAATTCAAAACCAAAATCTCTCCGTCCCAGGTACAGGCAGGATCTATTGTACCGAACATCCACAGGGGCCTGCGGGGAGCACAGCCGGCTAAACTTCTTCCTCTTTCCTCAGGACAGGACACCTCTGCCCACTGACAGGTCTCTATGAGTTCACTTGCTCAACTCCTAGCCTGTTCTTATTCCATCCTTTGCCCTGTCTGCTCCAAGGACATGCTCCCTAAGATGTGCTTCTACCTGCCTGCCTGAGGCTAAGGTAGGGCTTCCTCCTGCCCTACCTGGACACCCACCGTGGCAGCACAGCCTGCTAAAGTACCTCCTTGCAGGATATTCTTTCTTCCCCACAAATTACATACCGCTCCCATTATCCCCCATGATGATAGCAGTAAATCTTCTTTAAAGTTTTTTTTTTTTTTTTACAGGAAGTCCATATCAATGGAGTAGTTGTTCTTGTGCCAACTCTTTAAATATGGCCATAATGAGGTGTAAGAGCCCAGTTTTCAGAGCGAGGACACGAAGCAGGGCTGACACCTCCAGCCAATAGGGTCTGAAACAATAGGACATTGAGACCCTTGCAGCAAATCAGTGAATTTGTTAACAAGTTCTAATCCAGAGCTATGCTTCCCCCACAACTAATGGTCTGCGTGTGTTGGTATGTATTGGTGTGTGTATTGGTGCATGCTGTTTTTCTGTGTATATTGGTGGTGTATGTTTTGTGTTGGTGTATTAGCATGTGTGAGTACATGTGTTGGTATATTGGTGTGTGTTGTATTGGTTTGGGTGAATGTGTGGTACTGGTGTGGGTATCTGGGCTTATTGGGGTGTGTTGGTGTGTTGGTGTTTATTGTTATATTGGTTGTGTGTGTGTTGGTAGATTGGTGTTTTTGTGTTTCCAGGTGTGTGCTGGTGCACGTACTGGTGTCTGTGTTTGGTGTGCAGGTCTGTGTGTATTGAGGTGTGTTGATAAATGTGAGTGTGTGTATTGGTGTTGCATACAAGAGGAAGAAGGGCAGAACTGAAGCATTTACTTAGTCTTTGCACAAATAGGTGTGTCAAGAAAATGAAGCACAGAAGAACCTCTCTGTGACTGGGGTATCCAGCTGCAGCCCAGAACCAAAAACACTAAGCTCCATTCCCCGGGGTGGCCACTCCTAATTTGCTAAATAACCTTGGGCAAGTCACCCAGCCTTCCCACACCCGGCTCCTCTGGCTGTGGAGGAGATTCGGAGAGCTGTCTCTTCTGTGCTTCTCCAGGTAATCGTGAGGATTAATGATGAGGGAATGGCAGTCAAGAACCTGGCGTTTCTTTAAGAAAGGTGCTGCTTACCTTGGACTAGAATCCTAAAAATAAATAGAGTAAATACACACCAGCCATCCAGGCCAAAGACGGCTCCGCGTCTGTGGGTTTCCACATCTTCCATTCCTCAGAGAGGTTGGCAGGGACAAAGCCAAATAAAAATACCTAATAAAGCCTTCTTTGACAAAATTCTCACTGGGTTTGTATGTGATTAGTCTGTGTCTATAGATGAAATGATTTTGAATAACCTGAAAGAATTGAAAGGGAAACAGTTCTGCCCAAAGACCCAGGTAGTCCTGCCTCGCTCTTCATCACACAGAAGCATTTCACTGCAGAGAGGAGAGAAGTCCTCTGACAATTAGCCTTCTAGTTTGGTGACAGTAATTATCACCATGAGAGGCTTTTCTCCCATCTTAGGATGCGATGTATGTATTCACTCTGCTGAGACCCCACTCTCAGGATTCTTTGGGCAGCACCCAAAATGCAAGGAAAGGATCGATTTTAACCTATTTTAAAACATTTGATCTAATTTGATATTTCTAGTTTTCAGCGGCTTACAGAAAATAGATGAAAATAAATGTCTTGTCACACGTTGTGCTGCGGACTATGCCTTTTGGTTTTCAAAGACTCCTGAAAGCAGGAGGCGAATCCTCTATTAGCTGTGTCTGATGCCTCCGGATTTTCCAGCTGTCATTGTTCAAAGGTCTATTTTTTGGAGCCTTGAGGAATGACCAAGTGGATTATTTGCTCAAAAAATGCTGTAAGTGATCTGTTTCTCAGAGTCTTCTGTGATAATAATGAAAGGGGATGGGAAGGGGCAAATAGCAGGTCCCCCCAAGTATAGTGGGGAGTATGTACATTTCTGGGTATATTTTCAAGGATAGAGACCTACATCTGACATCTGAAGAAGAGCAAGAACAATAAGTAGTCATGGATTGTGCTGCTGTTCGCTTTCTTTTCTGAAGTCTAATTATTTTAGTAGCCCGCTGCCTTGATTAAGCCTTTCCTCTCTAAATAATTAATTTGCCTTTATACAAGTGTATTGGCCTGATACAAATCTTAGCACACAACACTGAGGACCCAGGCTCAGCAAACTCACTTTCAAGCACATAAATAATTGCCTTGGAATAATTAACAATTAACCTTGGTAAAGGAGAGCTACATATTAGTGTACTTACTATATTGGTTCAAAACCAGATATTAGTTGTTTGATATTAGAAAATGTTATAAACATATACACATTTACAAACCTACATGGTAAATAAGTTTAGCTGGCATATGTTAACTGGTTCAAAAGAATACTGTCAATGCAAATATTTGACCCATTTGTTTCAACCTATTTCACAAGTATTTATGCCAAACAGACGCATTTTAAAAAAACAATGAAGGACCCAGAATGAAGAGAAACTGGAATTGAGGATATCAATGGGTGGTTGGGGTTCCTTGGCACATCTGTAGCAGAAACTCAACACACATAATTTATCAACAGTGGTTGGGAAGCGACTTCTCCATCTGCCATGAGTCCGGGTATAAAAAAACACATGGGGCTGCTGGATTCTTGGTGGGAAGGTCTTCTATGAAGAACATACAAGAGAAATCTCTAGTTTCCTAAAGTGGGTCTCTCTATGAACCATTCTCCTGGAGTAACAGATTCTTAAAACACTACACTTACCCTGCTTACTCTCCAGCAAGGAGACGGGGACCTCTCTGGCTCTGGCTCCTACCTCAACATCGTTTCCTTTCCCATGTCTTCTCCACATTCAGATATTACCTCACTGACTTCACCCCAGGCAAGGGAATTTGGGATGGAGTGGAAGAGAGCAAGAAAACATGGCTACAAAGGGGGCTCAAAGGGCTCACCGAGTGTCCGCCTGTCCCCAGGGACTCTAAGTCCTCAACCAGGGCCTCCACAATGCCACCCCTAAAACTCACTCCTAAACACCCTCTCTAATCAGCAGTTTAAATTTCCTATCACCTGACACTGCTCTTAGTCCTTACTGTTTTTCTGACATCTTGAGGTTCAAGTTTGGCACAACCTGCTCAGGCTTGAAGTGGTTGTATCCACTGGAAGTGCTCTCAGCCACACATCCGAAGAAGAGCAGCTTCTGCCACAGTTGGAGAGCTGATCAAGCCAGCTCCGCCCAACCAGCAGCCAGACAGTTGGTCCTGGACAAAGGAGTTTCTGCTATTACCAGACGAAACTAACTCTTCGTGAACTTACAAAGACAGGCATTGACTCTGGGCACCCACTTTTTATATGATGGTGAATTTAACCTCTCCCTATCTCATTTTTTTATTGTTGCTTGTTGTCTTTAAGAGTGAAATCCCAGAGGATTGTACACCAGGCAGACTCACAGACCAGTGCTTTGAACAGAGGAAGCAGTGCTTCTTCCTGGCCACTGGGTGCAACGCACACAGATAGGGTTAAGACATCAGGGTAAGCGATGACAAGGACAAAACTTCTGCTTGGGGTGTATTTTTTGCTCCAAGATTATTTGAAAGACCAGATTTCAGCAAAGTCTTTCTTAGAATTCCTGGTAAACTCATCTCTGCCCTAAATGGATTTTAGCTAGTCTGGGTCAGGAGCAAGGAAGGAGAGAGACGAAATAAACTTCCTCTGGGTGAATTGTATCTTGAAGCACTATGCCCAGTAAGAGAAAGGGACAGCAACAGAGAACGCCAGGCATCACTGGCTTTGGTGGGTAGTGTTGATTGTGTGTCCACTTGGTGGGGCAACTAAGGAATGGGGGTGAAGATTAGACTGCAAAGGGATGTGTAGTTTGGAGGCTTTACTAATGATTGTGTTAAGTGGAAGTAGATCCTGAGCCTGGAAACAAGGTATCAAAGTGGAAATTGGCAGGAGGATTTTCCCAGGTTCGTGATTTCCAGGTATCCTTTGAATAAGTGGAATGATATAGGAGGAAATGAGTTGAGAATGTGGAATAAGAGTTTATTAGCTGGTGATTTGCCTACAAACACTTTTTTAGTTGTCTATTTACTTACTTACCCTGCCCCCCAGATTGCATGTTCAAAATTTTCTCTTTTGATTTTTAAATACTTCTGGGGTATAAGATCTTTTAAAACTTTTGTATATTTCATTACAAATAAACATTACAGGGACAGTTGTAGACCAGATCTGTTGTCATATATTAGTTAAACAAATTCTCCTTTCTGTCATGATTATAGTTACGTCATTCGCCAGTTTTTCTATTAGTAATCTGCATTTTACCAACCGAGTGTTACTTTAAAAAGAAAATTTAAGAGTTTCTAGAACTCTGTTATGTTGTAATAAGATTTATAGCTCCATACATTCTGTGCAGTGATAGAAAGTTACTGCTCTAGATCATCATTATTCTGAAATCTTGAGGTTTCTACAATAATTCAAGACTTTGACAATGAAGGATTTAGCCAAAGAATCTGGCATATTGCTCTGTTTTTATTCTGGGTAAGGTTTTGAATTAATCCAATTGAAATTATTAGAAAAGGTGCCTATATTTTTCCAATATCAAATGCGACTATTAAATTTTTATACCCTTGCTATCTTTCTTAACCCTTTGTGGACATTTAAACACATATTTTTTCTATAGTTTCTTTGCAATAGGTTTTTGTGACTATTATTAAAGCAACAATGGTCTCATTGACTAACTGCTATTCAATATTTACCAATAAGCAGTAGACATCAAAGGCTGGATCTGTTCCCATGATGGAGATGATAAACATTTGTAGCACATTTGTAGCACATAGCTTTTTCAAGTGGAAGATCGTTTCAGTTTCACTAGAAGGGATAGCTGAGTCTCAGATACTTAAATGAAAAAATACTTTGGAAATCCAGAGTTTCAATCAAACACTGGTTTGATGCCTGTGATTTAGAAACACAGTCCAATGGTCATCCTGATTACTGAACAGGTCAAAGCAGCCATTTTTTTAAAAGATTTATTTATGCATATAAGAACTGGTGTGTAAGCCAGAGGTGCGGTGGGGGTGGGGGGGCATAAGAGGATTCACCACAGAGTGGGGAGCAGAACAGTCAGATCCACTGAAATACACTGCTGAGGGGAGCAGCGGGCGAGACAGGAGAGGTCTGCTGCGCCATGTGGATTGAGGATCAAACTCGCTCTGCTGTGCAACAGCTTGGTAGGGCTGTCTTTAACCCCTGTGCCACCAGGGAGGCCCAAAAGCAGCCATTTTTTAATGATATTATCAGGACATAGTATTTGTTGAGTATCTACTATGAGCTAGGAATTTTGTTAAATGTTTCCCTAAATTGTCAAATAAAATATTAATTACAAGTCTATGGCATGGTTTAATAGGTTGCATCATGTCCTCCAAAAAGATAAGTTCAAGTCTTTATACCCCAGGACCTGTGAATATGATCTTATTTGGAAGTAGGATCTCTGTAGATGTAATCAAGAGGTCATAATAGATTAGGGTGGGCACTAATACAATGACTGCTGTCCTTATAAGAAAAAGGAGTGGCAGATTGAATAGAGAGACTCTGAGGATACACTCTAGTCCTTTGATGACAGGAGCAGAGGCTAGAATGATTTAGCTATCAACCAAGGATCACCACAGATTACCAGCAACCCCCCAAAGCTGGAGATACACATGGAATAGATTCTATCTCTGGGCTCCCAGAAGAAAAAAACCCTGTAGATACCTTGATTTGGGGTTTTTGACTTCCTGAAGTTTGAAAGAATCATTTCTCTTATTTTAATTCACCCAGTTTGTGGAGCTTTATTATAGTAACCCTAGGAAATAAATACATGTAGGAACTGTGATATTACCTCTATTTCTTACAAGAAACTTGTCATCTAGTTAGTGATTGATGGTGGTGGGTACAAACCCAGACCCAACCCTGGGCCTATGGGCTCATCCTAACACTCATCAGATCACCGTGCACATGAGTTTGTACATTCCATTTCTTCTCCTTTAGTCTAAACTCTATAGGTCACACCCTTATGTCCACAGGTGGGGAGACCAGCTGTGACATACTGCACTAGCTTAGGTACTCGAAATATTAACAGACTCCATGGACTGCAAGCAATTGAGGACCTCACAGAATGTCCCC